TTAAAATATCTGTGATGTAAAAAGTAACAAAATTTTGATGTATATTTTTCACAAATTATCGTAACCAGCTAGTGTATATGTAATAAGATTACAGATATATTATATATATAATATACATATGTACATACATATATATTATATATATATTATATATATACATATATATATATATATATATATATATATATATGAAAAAGAAGAAAGACTATTGTAATTACGGTGTGCGAAGACAAAGTAAGGCAAGACGAGTGAGGAAAGACAAACCGAGAGCTGATGGGACAAAACGAGCAAGTAAGGGACAGAGAGAGCGAGAGAGAGAGAGAGAGAGAGAGAGAGAGAGAGAAAGATATAGATAGATAGATAGAAAGAAAGGGATACGGAAGGAGCGTGATTGCGAAATTACGTTGATCCACACCGGTGGTTAGACGGGACCAAGATGGCGGGCATCGCTCGGAAAGTCGGGTCCAAAGATTCCCGTTTTTTGCCTTATCTTCGTTTCTCTTACGTTCTCGCGCGCGTGGTTCTTTCCACTTTTACATCGGGACTCGATTGGAAGACAACAGAGGGATCCTCGCTCGTCCTCTCTCCGTTCTCGCGAGAGGAGGGAGGGGACAGCGAGGGCCAAGGAGGAAGGGCGAGAACCCCGAATTTTCCGCGGACCCCTTTTCAAATCCTCCGACGATCCTCTTTATTTCGAAACGCGCGTTCTCATCTCGTTTCATAACGGAATGGATTTTTCGGATGCGATTCGAATGATGGAAAACTGGAAGATTTGGTCCGATTGGCCCTGAAACGGCTCAATATCAGCTACCTCACAATATTGTCACGTTTGGTATGGTACGAACGAGAAACGTTTGTGTGTCATGTACGTGGATATAGAGAAAACGATTCTTATAACTTGATAATATTTTCCTGGAGAAACCAAGTTTTATTAAAAAAATTTTTATGGAATAATAAAAATTTTTTACATTTATTTAATTGCCTACATTAATTTATCTAAAAGGACAAAGAGTAAAAAAAAAAAGTTATATAAATGTTTGAAAATTTTTTAATTGCTTTTAAATTAAATATAAGTTTAAATAAAATTTTGTAGTATATACGATAAAATAGAGATTTCTGAATTGTAAAATTAAAATTGTTTAGTCTGGAAAAATATACAATACATTAAGCTCTCGATTTTCGATATAAATATTCTTTCATTTACTTTCGAGTTATTTCCGCGTTACTTTTATCTTTCTTTTTCGTTGATATCGCGAAAAGAAGCTTCCACGGACACACGGACGTCAGCAGGACGAGGTCGTGTGAAAATGGTCTAAACAGTTCCAAATTGTGCCTAAGTTATGAGAGATTACGTTTTTACGACTTGCAGTAGCACGAACGAAAAATAGATGGGAGTATCTCGTAGCAGCAAACAGATTCAGTTCGAGCGCGCTTGATCTGGACGACAACGGCGAACGCGATAGAGACAAAAGCGATATATAGAGTTTCTTATTAAAGTAAATTAAACAAGGGTGTAATATTATCTACAACATACGTTCCAGGGCCGTCCGGCCGCCATCTTGCGTTCAACGTTATGTTCCGTTTTTTCGAATAAGTGCAATTAGGTACACGAACACGTACGCACACACAACATACATTGACAGACACGTAATCATGCTTCAACATACCCACGAACACGCGCGGGATCGCACACATACACACACACACACACACACACATATATACATCAAAAATACACGCGAGACACGTCGAGGAAAAATGGAGTAAAACGAACTGTTACACGCTAAGTTACCGTTTTTTAAATTCTATTTTCAATTCACGCATTCTCGAATGTTGGGATTTTCGTGATCAACGAAGAGCTGGCCTGTCGTTCATATAGGGGTACACACGCATGCACACATATACATACACATACACGAGACACGTGTACACACTCAAGCGACCGACGTCGATTCGACGAAGAGAAAGGGCAAAATGTCATCGCGTTACGCGCGGATCTTCCCCCAAAATTTTTCGGCAAAACATGCTGACATTTTTTTATATTTGACTGTTTATCATATGTTTATACAAGTACCATCAGTCACTGTGGAGTTGATTTAAAATTGATAAAAATTCGTTATATTTTGATCATTCTACACATTAGTACTCTTTGTTATATTGTTAAGCCATTTACTTTTGTTCTGGAAAATGTTGATTGTAGAATGAACCAGATAGGAGTAAAAATATCAGTTTCATAGAATTATTATTAGGTATAAAGTTAAAAATATGAAATAATATAATTTAAATTATACTTTTTATTAAAACGATAGTATACAATTATTGCTTATCTCTGAAATAAATCTGTCACTCAAATAAATTTGGAAATTTAAAATACTACATCTTCTTGAAAGAAAAGAGCAGGAAAAATGCATGAAAATTCAAAGAATTTTTCAATTATTCAAGTTTATAATTTAATAATGATTAATGATTACACTAATATTTTTTATTTTATTGTATATAGTAGAAAACAGTTTATATATTTCTTATATTTTATA